TAAGTATGTACTCGTATATTGTGGACCTAATCGAGAACGACTTCGTGAAGGCTAGTGATTTGTATCCTCTTTGGTCTAGTGAAATGCGGGGGAGGTCGCAACGGAAAACAGCGCGTGCAGATGCGTAAAATGCGCGTCGCGGCGCTGGAGTAGTAGCCTCGAGCACGCGCCGCTGATTGCGCGCCACCAGCTACACTTCGCCACCACGTGCTCTTCCAGCCGCGCCCCTTCCGGGTCGCCGGCGCCCGTTACCACCGTTTCCGTCTCCCACTCGTCTGTCAACGAGAAGCGCCACGCTTTACACGACGAGAGAGGCATCCGCGGCCGGGCCGCGACAGGACATGGACGCACCGCAAAGGGCTGGCCAGGGCAGCGCAGGAGGAGGGCTGCAGGTGCGGTGCGCGACGAAGATGCGGTGCGCGTGCGCGCTGTCCAGCGCCAGCACGCGCGCCCGGCCGGAGCAGCGCTCGCCGCAGGCGTACTCCACCTCGTAGCGCCACGCCGACCCGTTGCTGCTCTCCTCCAGCACGGCCCACTCGCCCCTGCAACGGGCGCTCGGTACAAGGGGAGGATACTGCCTGGACGCTCTTCCAGAGTCTCAACGTTACGTACCGCCAGGCTGTTGTTCCGTTTATATAACAAAAACACATTGTTCATAACGACATTAAATTTCATTCAATCTGAAGTAGATAACTTAAACAAAACGTCGCCTAACTAATATTGTTACCGTGCGTGCGTTTTGCATAACATGTGGGTAACTACGTGTTAAAATACATTTAAATTCACCCTATAATTATAACGCACATGTGGGGGTAGAAGCGCGAGTGGTACGAGAAGTCCGCGAGGTGATGCGCAAGGCGGCGGGGTGGGACGTGCGGGAAGCTTGCCGCGGACCGCAGCGCAACGCGCGCCGGCAGCAATGCGGCCAGCGCCAGCGCCGCTGCGACCGCAACGGAGCAGGCCAAACGAGCGCGGACGCTGCGACTCCACCGCGATTTCGCGCGCAACCACGCCCGCTGAATGTGCGCCAACATCATCTGCAAATAGTAGGTAACTGTTGTCGTGTAAAGTTTAGGTAAACCGAATGGAAGTTAGCAACGGGTGGCTCTGAACCGTGTGTGGCAGACGTCCTTCCCTGCTGGCGCGTTGCCAGCGAGTGGGAAGGGGCCGCGAGCGGAACTGAAAGAACATTAAACTATTCTTGGATAATCCCGCTACGGCTAGCATTTAAGGTAAATTTAAGTTTAGTGAAGAAATAGGTAGATTCAATAATACCTTGGTGAGCTCGAAGATGGTGCATGAATGCCAAAGAATGCATTTCTACTTACTACTTGTGTAAGTTAACCCTTAAGTAATTAAGCATGCTTACTTTATCAAAATGTAAAAACGAAACAAAGTTAAATAAAAAAATTGATAATAAAATTGTTTATTGAATAACGTATTGTAGAAATGAATAACTAAGGACTAATTGTGCGAATAAATGTAAAATATAACACATATTCCTGAACTAGGAGAATCCTGTTTTAGGTAAAAAATACTAATTATACAGGTGAATATATGATGATTAAATTATAAACAAAAAACAATAATAATTAAGCAATGAAATGCAAATCATATACCTATTACGCTTAAATGAGACAAAATTTATTTTGGGTTACTTAATAAATTATCTGTGTCATCTTAGGACATATTTTGAAGGAATTCTTGGAGAATTTTCTTAACCTTTATGTCGAATTTAATATTTATTTTAATATTATATAGAATGACTTACTCGGCGAGTCGGTCACACACTGCTAGTGTAGGGCGAGCACGACAGGGCGCAACACAGCTATTCTCGCGCTTCATGTCGCTCTCGCGCAAGTCGCGCCCTGTCGTGCTCGCCCTACTGTTGTGTATAATTTTCCAAGAAACATCAAATACCTAGTAGAAATTATTCCGGAAAAATTAATTCGAAAGTTCATAATATAATGTTCTACGTTAAGATATATCTTTTGAAGTTATAATTAGCGTGAATTCTAAAATAAAAATGTAATAGCTAAAAGCAGTATCTTCAATTTTTGAGAGATTTTAACTGTCAAATATGGAAAAAATGTATGAATAAATCAAATTAAGGAAAAATATTTATTTTTGTGAAGAATATCGATTTTTCAATATGGAAATTTTTCAATGATCCCACACTACTACAGCCGAATGAAGTCATTTTATGGTGGCACTTCACATGGCTATTTGTACTTGCGTATTTAATAACTATTATTTATTTGATAACTGCCTCCGTGGCCGGACGGTTAGCTTGCTCAGAGGTCCCGGGTTAAATTCCGGGCTGGGAGGATTATTTATATGGCCTACATTTCGACACATCCGAAGAACATAGTCCGATGTGATTACATAGCGAAAAGAAAGTCAATACGTTACGAGAATAATTTCGTTATTCAGACAGGGCCTATTGTAAATGTGTTTTGAGGATTTATATTTCTTATTTCGTTTCGGAAATATAAAATCGAACAAATCGATCTGACATCTACAGCGAAGAAGAACGACCGAAATTTACTATGTCGAGAGAACAAGTAGTCTTGCACATAGATCTTTGTTCTACGGATGAGACGATTTATTTGTCTCGTGAGTTTGGCTGTAATTCGCAGTGTTCTATGGCACCCCCGACACAGGGTTTCCCTAGTGCGGGGCTATGAGTGGTAGCGTTATATTATTGGCAAACAATCACCATATGTAGATAGCATGTGTGACAAAGTATTTGCCTATCACCCATAACACCGCAAACACCAAACTCGCGTTACCTGGCGCTCTCTGGTCGATTTTGCGACGCACATCAAAGGAGCCAAATAGACAAATACGCGAGTAAACCGTCTACACTACGGTCGCATTCATTCTTTTAACTCCTTATTCGGTTCCAAGTGACCGTCTACCATATTTATTTATTTATTGATTCAAGAAACAAACAGTCGATATAAAACTATTATTACATTAACGAAGATATATAAAGTAGACCTAGAGTTTTCTTCATTTATTATGCACTTGAAATCTTAAAGACTATCAATATGTATGTAGAACAAAGTACAGAAGGGCGTTTTACTTTTAAATTTTTACAGCAAATTACAGAAAATATCCACATCCATGAACCTGCTGTTACCTATACGTGACGTGCAGCTTGATTTTGATTGCCTCTCCCGATAGGAAACTGCGTCTTTTCCGAGTCGAGGCGTACCTACAATATTGCGGATGTGCGTGCGTGCGTATAGTAATGTACCTTAAGATTATGACTTTATAGTTGCAATTATAGTGATAATTATCATAGCTGCAAAATGAAGCTGCGATTTGCTTAGGCATGCCGAGCCTTCAGCCTCCAGAATGCCTAGGCAAACTCCGGAATGCCTCAGCAGCCTTACAGGTGCCTCGGCAACCTTAGGGTAGCCTCGCCAGTTTTAGGGATGCCTCGGCAGCCTTATGGATCCTCGGCAGCCTTAAAGGTGCCTCGGCAGTATTATGAATACCTCGGCAGCCTTAAAGATGCATCGCCATTGTTCACCATTAGCTTGAAGCCATGCAACTATAGCATTCACGCCACACACACGCCACACGCATACACGCCATGCAACGATATAGCGACGATATACTTCAGCATACCTAAAGATGCCCCGGCATGCCTAAAGGTGCCTACAGATACGATCGACATTGTCGATCGTCACTGTCGATCGTCATTATCGATCGACAATGTCGATTAGGAGCCTACAGACATAATCGACATTGTCGATCGTATCTGTAAAACGTCTATTATATTATTGAGAATGTGGCATTAATTTCTAAATCCAAGGTGGTTCTGGACATGGCATTTATATCTGAATACATGATGGCTGACAGGACTTTTCGCATTTCAAAATGCAAAATGGCGGGCACGATTTCTGAAATAACGGCAAGTTGGGAATCGTTTTCTAGATATTTGGGGGTGCTCATAACGAATATAGAACTTATTTGTGAATCCAAGATGGCGGACACAATTTATCGAAAAAATGCAATATGGGTATCGTTTTCGAGGTATTTGGGGGTGCTCATTACGAATATAGCACTTATTTGTAAATCCAAGATGGCGGACACGATTTATCAAAAAAATGCAATATGGGTATCCTTTTCGAGGTATTTGGGGCTGCTCATTACGAATATAACAGTTATTTGTAAATCAAAGATGGAGGACACGATTTTTCAAAAAAATGCAATATGGGTATTTTTTTCGAGATATTTGGGAATGCTCGTTACGAATATGGTACTCATTTCTAAATCCAAGATAGCAGACACGATTATTCGAATAACGGCAAGTTGGGTATCGTTTTCGAGGTATTTGGGGGTGCTCATTACGAGTATGGCATTCATTTCGAAATCCAAGTTGGCAGGCACGATTATTCGAATAACGGCGAATTCCTTATGAAAAAATAAAATAAAATAAAAAGTATTTATTTCTTCGCAAATATTTAAACAACAACATGCGAGATTGAGATCTCACTCCTCTATAACTAATACATAATAGATTTGAAACAAAGTTAAACAAAAGTACAATTACTGAACTAAATCTTTTAACTATGGTACAAAAAGAAAATAAAAATAAACTAAAGGACTAAAAACTTTGAGAAAGAGTTTACTACGTTTTAAAGTGAGTTTAAAAAGTTAACATATAAATTTAGCTATTAGTTGTCTATTAGGTAATGGTAAGGTGTGTGCGTGCGTATGCGTGCCTGTGTGTGTGTGTTTGTGTGTGTGTGTGTGTGTGTGTGTGTGTGTGTTTGTGTATGTGTGTGGTGCGTACGCGAATGAGGTGCGCTGTGTGTGTTGTATGTTAAAACCCTGGATATGGCCGAGTATACATATATTATATTAAGGTATTTGATAGTAAGGTACTAAAGTAAAGTACTTAAGTAACAGCCTGTAATAGAGCCTCAGTCTCTTCACAACTGTAGCCATTGAACTACAGATCTTTTACATTCATAGAAGTTCATGTGATAGATGTTTAGGCCTTTATTTATACAGTTATACAAATGACTTGATTGCTTTTTAAGCTGACGACTAGCAAAGGTAGTTTTCACAAAATGCTGGGGGACAACATGGTATTGTCTTCTTCTGCTTACGCTGTTTGAATCGTATGGAAGTCGTTTGTGTGTCTTTAGAATAATCTGTACTATGCACAGTTTTCTGACAGACAACAGTTTACTGATGGAGTACAGCTGGTCAGTTGGAAATCTATAGGATTTAAAGAGCATAACTTTTAGTAAAAATCGCTGAGCCCGTTCAATTTCCAAAAATTTTGTCTTTGCGGCCCCTCCCCACACACAAATAGAATAGGTAATTACAGACTGAGCCAGAGCTACATAGATTTTATTTATTAATTCTTTTGTTGCTATATGTCTAAGAATTTTAAACATCCATGTCAATTTCCGGATTCTATTAGCTACTAGCTCAATCTGCGCAAACCAGGAAAGACATTGGTCTATCATAACACCCAAATATTTAGTGGAGGGTACCTTAGCTATTTGAGCACAGAGACAGTTTTGCACAATGGTTCTTCCGCACCTGTGAACTTTTAGCTCAAAATCACTTTGAGGCTGTGTGCTACTGTATATCGAAAAACATATGTAATTGGTTTTATGGGCGTTTAGTGTGAGAAGGTTGGTCTCGAGCCATTCAGTGACTCTGGCAAGCCCTTTCTCAGTCTCTTCGCGTACTTCCTCCCATGAGGCACCCGAGAAAACAAGAACCGTGTCATCAGCGTACGAGAATATCCGACCAGTGTTCAGCCTCATGTTACACAAGTCATTTATATATATCAGGAATAAGGTTGGTCCCAACACACTACCTTGAGGTACGCCATATGTTACATACGTATCGCAACTCGTATATGGACCCAACCTTACCCTCTGCTTTCGATCAGAAAGGTAATCCTTAAGTAGCTCTAAGGGCGTGCTTCTAATACCGATTTGTTCTAATTTTTGCACGAGAATTGGGACAGAGACGGTGTCAAATGCTTTTTGTAGATCCAGAAAAACGGTAATGCATTTTTTACCACTATCAAGATGCTCTGTTATTGAAGTTGTCAGTCCAGAGATTGCGTCTTCCGTGCTTTTGCCCCTCCTAAAACCAAACTGTGAGTCTGATAAGATATTA